GGGGGGGGGGGATAGAATAAACGGAAATTATATTTAATCGACGCCGATGAAAGCGTATCGAGAGAAGCTTGATAAATTATATCTGATACATAAATTTTTATTTGCGCCTTCTCGAATGCTCCCGTCTCGGAAAATTGATTTATTGATACCGTCGGCGATGGCCGTTTATCGACAAAACTTTGCACACGTCGTTTCTGACGTCGGAATCTGCACGGCGCGAAGATAAGATCCGCGAGATCATCCCAGATGGACTTTGATAAACATCACAACGTGAGACAACGTCAGTCATGAAAAATTTATAGTACTTTTAATTACATTTATAAGGCGAATATACTGTATTGAATTAATCAAAAATTTATATTATACAATGTTGGAAATTCTGTGTTATATTGATGCAGCAAGAAACTTATTCAAAATTACTCTCAGATTTTTATATTACATTTTGCATGATACATTATTTTGATCATTTTTCTTTTATAGAGAAATATATATATATATATATATATATATATATATATATATATATATATATATATATATATATATATATATATATATATAACATAATATACGCATAGTATACAAAAGTCGGATCGGTATTCAGAATCGTCTCTTACACCGCTCGTAGATTAAGATATAATAAATTCGATCGGATTTCATTTGATGAGTAAATATAATAACAGATAAAAATACATTTATGTTAATAAATATATGATGTGGCACAGGATACGAGTTCTGAATACACACGGGCTATCAGCAATGATAGAAACTTTGATTCCCGAGCAGCACGCGTCAGCACGGGAGGGGATACGCACACACTCACGTGACCGTGTCCGTGAACATGGACACGGTCGCGTAAGTGTGTGCGTATCCCCTCCCGTGCTGATGCGTGCTACTCGGGAATCAAAGTTTCTATCACTGGCTATCAGGATTAAAACAAAATACAAGAAAGAATAAGTAACAAATCTCGCAAAGAAAAGGACAATGTTTCACAGAGAAAGAGAGAAAGACAGAAGGCACAGGAGATGATCCAACGTTATTTTACAAAGATACCATTCTTCTGTGAAGTATGCATTCATATTGAGCCTATGATTCCATCCTCTAACGACACGAGCACTACACACATATCCGTCTAGTGAAAGATGTAAAATTGATGACCGGTTTAAATAGTTGTCGGAGATCGTTGCATGCACGACGATAAATGTATACGATGATAGATATATATGATGAATGCCAGAGCATTATGTACTCGATGATGTTCAATGTTGAGGTAAATCCCGCATCGCTCCCGTTTCGATGCTACCTTCGCCTCTCTCCCTTCTGGGTTTTTCTCTTCTCCTTCTTCTCTTCTTTCAGTTGCTTTTGTTTCTCTCTGAAAAACGCGAAGTTCATACTTACAGACACATTATATTACCTCACGTTATATACCTCAACGCGGTAGCATCAAACGATATCGGTATATTCTTGCTACAATTCTACCTGTCCTCCTTGTCCTTCTCTTTCTTCTTCTGGCTCTCGAGCTTGGCCTTTTCTCTCTTCTCTCGCTCTTGTTGTATGATAGTAGCTGCATTCAAATTCTTTTCGATCCCGCAGTCTCCACCTCCGCCGTCCTCCTCTCCGTCCCCTTCGCTATTCTCCTCGTCGGACATTTGACTATACTGCGCTAAAATAGCCTCTCGAATTCGTCTCTCTTCTTCTGTGTAACTTCTCTGTGTGGTCGTAGGTAGACTTTGCGACTCCAGCATTCGTGCCAATCGAACATCGACGTCCTCCGTCGGTACAGTTGCGGCGGCTACATCCTCTGATGGCAACCATTCCGCCCAAGCACTTAAAATCTCTGCTACATGCTTGCTGATGTTGTCCTCCTAAAGCATAATCGGGCCTTGTCATATGAGAAACATTACACCAAGGTTGTGTCGTAGATTCCAAGATTTTTCCATCTACGTAGATTGTTTATGTATTGCACTACGTGATACAGTGCAAGGCTGGACGTTTATGCGTAAATTATGATATTCCTACGTGTAGACAATGTAAATTATGTATGAAATGATTATCTATATAGATAATAAGTAATCTATAGATATTGTTGATTTGCTCGAAAATTAATTAAGAAAACTAAAAATTTGTATTTAACCTTTAGAATTCTAATATAAATTTCTTGTTGTTTCCTAAACAAGTTAGAGTCTGCAGAATCTTCTTATTACATTCTTATCTTACGAGAGTTAAATCTACTAATCTGTAACATAAAAAAATATGAAAATTTTATGCAATTTATTACTTTTAAATATTATCTAATATATAATAATCCAAAACAAATATAAAGTAACTGTTTCGTAATTTAATAGCTTTTTTATATATCTTAATATAATTTTCAATATATTACGTAATTTATATATATTGTCTATACATGAAAAACGACCATGTATGTATATATATATAAAATATGTAAACAATCCGCGTAGACGGATAGTAATATTAGTTCAGCTAAAAATGACAGACCTAATGACATCTCATACATAGTTTATATTATCCATATGTAGATGTAGTGTTAACAACAATTTACACTCAAACGCCTACTCTGCACAAGAGGTTTGTTTTCCATTGTATAGTGTCTCTAGCCTTATCTCAGAAGTTTTCAGCTGTGTCATATACTGTCTTCTTATCTTTTTCATTATTTGATCCTCTGTTTTTCTTATACTGTTTTTCCCTTCTTCTTTGCTTCATATAGTAATACTTGTTTATGCTAATACTTATATAACTCTTTCTTTGGATAATGAAATTATGCACTATTTTGTGAATTTCCAAATTTTTTAAAAGTCTTCTCTTTAAAGTCATTATATTTATTGCATCTAAGTATTAAGTAGTTAATATCTTCTGTCATAACAGGTACATCTTGAACTATCTATTAGTTTTTTCCTAAATAACCATTTGTTCAAGTTGTAATGATTACTTTTGATTCTGTCACAAGAAGTCACAAAGCATCCTGTATCTTTTGCTTAAACTATAATTTTTGGTTAAACTATAGTCTTATATATAAATATTTTGAAAATAACTCTTATCCTTATGTCTTCCTTCTATTTCTAGATTCTCCTCAGTTTCTATTAACAGCCTGTCTTCATTCAGTCTTCTCTAATCCTTGATGGGTATGCTTATTTCTTCACTAGTCACAATCTTTAGTCTCTTCTCTAGCTAGTTTGTCTCCTGTTTTATTTCTCGTAACTCCAATGCCATATATACCAGTACTATTTTCCTATCCAACCTATATCTTCTTTCTATAAACTTTTGTTGTATTTATTATGATATACATTCATAGATATTAACATATTGTTGTTCTTCTATACTGCATTTAATGAATCTAATATCAGTATATAATATATATCTGTTATATTCTGTTCTTGCAAGCATTTTTTTAGCACTGTACTAATTTTCAGAACCTCTGGTATATTTTTTACTTATAAAGTATCCTGTGTCATTATCTTTTGTTGCAATTCTTACTACTACTAATTCCCCAATCACCAGCTGAAAAGATGTTTTCTGTAGCTAAACTAGTTTAGCTAGTTCAGTTACAAAGAACAGACTAAAGATTTCAAACAGAAATAATAATAAGTGTTTTGAAAGCAAATAGATAATTTCCATTGGATGTTGCTGAAACATATTCTCGTGGATATCATCAAAATTATATACATGATACATTATATATAAATAGATGCACTTTCCTCCTAAATCAAGATCCTTCGTTCTTCGCAAGTCTGGACTAATAACAATATAACATGACAGTAGTAACAGTAAAGTGGATAATGATTACGTCATAAAGCGAATCGTCCGAGATACGCTCGCACGGACGAAGATCATCAGCGCAAAACGCATAGAAGGCGGAAACGTGTACTTTCGGAAGTGCCTCGCGTCTATTTTCGACCGGCGCCGCGGCGGCCGCGCGCATTCTAACCTCAAAAGCTCGCGAGAGCATGTACCAATTACTCACCGTTATACCCGCGAGTATGCTCTCGAGCGCTTCGGTTTTCTCATCCTCAGACTCGTCGCCCTCGAGGATACCCTTGATGTACGTACCGAAGACGCTCTCATCCGTGTTGAGAGCCTGGAGCTTCTCGCTGAGCCAGGCGTCGAAGGAGCTCGCCGCGACCGCCATGTTTTTCGGCTTTTTGGAATTCTCCGGTACTTATTTGTGCACGCTCGACTAAAGATAGAAGTGAAGAGAACTGTCTCGGCCACGCGCAAGTCGTCACATTTTGATAGCTGGTATCAGGATGATCGCCGAATAACCTAACTTGCTCTCCTCAGTCACCTCGACGTTGGGAGATCGTCGTGCGTCGTGCACCGCTTCGCAGCTTGACGCTTTACCTGTCTCTCGCAACAGCTTCTTGTGTGAGCTATATATCGTGAGGAGATGTATATAGACAATATCAATATGCGCGCAGTGGCCAGACACGTGATATCGAGCAGCGCACCTGACACACGGACTGCAATCGAGATGTTAATTTCGATCGTGTCATCTTGTCCACAGGTGAATTATATTTGTATTATATTATGCTATATTATACGATATTGTATTGTATTGTATTGTGTTGTGTTGTATTATGTTGTGCTGTGACATATTATTGGTGGAAAATTAATATAATATTAAAATACAAAATATTTTTACTTAGTTTAAACTCCCGCCTTTCAAATCTTAAGCCCATTTTACAATGGTAATAAGTAGGATAGGTAGGATTCACACCGCGTCCGACGTCCGATATCCAATAAAAAAATAGCTTTCCAATGGAGAATTGAATTTTTTATTAGAAAGCTGATCTCCTATTGGATATCAAACATCGTAATCGGAAATCGGACGCGGTGTGAATCCTGCATAAGGGCTTGTGTCCACCACTGAAATATATGGTCTGTTTTTTTCAGCTGCACTGCTGAACTGGTGCAATAAATTAAAGTGAGACAAGTATATGTTTTCTCACTCTAACTTATTGCACCAATTCAACAGTGCAGCTGAAAAGAACAGCCAATATACTATTAGAGACCCTCAACAGAAACTGGCCATTAGCCCGAAAAATGGCGACGATGAATATGTGCGTGCTGCTGAGTGAGTGCGTGATCTATTAAATATGTGCGTGTATATCGATCTGGGGCTCGATTGTTGACGATATGCGAATGAGATACGCATGCAAAAATATATAGTTCACGTTACGTATACTGTAGATTTTCGCATGCGTATCTCATTCGCACACCATCAAGAATCGAGTCCTTGCACATCAATTGTATGACATGTAAGTAACATGATATTTTATCATTTTAATCACGAAATTTAACATCACAACGTAAAATGAACAATTAACAACTATTACACTTACACACATTTATATACCTTTAAATAAAACTTATAACAACAATACAAATAATCTCTATTTATTAAAATTACCTATATATATTTTTTAACTAATTATTTATTATATCAACCGAATAATAATAGCTCAGGACTAGTTGTTTTTTATTTCTTTCGACATTACATAACGTGTGATTGTTATTGACTATATGTAATATTTTCAAGAACTTACATTATACATTTTAAAGAATATACATGTATATATCTTTATTTATCATCATTATTTGAGCGATAAATTATACATTCGCAGAGTGCGACAATGGGTGCTTCCGAAATACCCAGAGTTGGGTCGAGTTGAGTTAGTTCCACTATAGTATATGTAACGGATACTATAGTGGAACTAACTCAACTTGACCCAAACCTGGACATTTCGGAAGCACCCTACATCTCAATTAATATTTAATGCCCGTTCGCGCTTGGTGAGCACAGCTCAGTATTAGTGCCGCCATTTTTCGGGTCATCATCCTGTGCGCCAATCACGTGGAGATGGCCTCCAATGGCCAGTCTCTGTTTGAGGGTCTCTAATGCTACCAACGCTACCGCGTTCTTCGATATCTTTATCGCTTCTTAGATAAACAATAAGGATAGGATAATACGGTAGCGCTAATAGCGAGCTCCCCGAACGTACCTATATAGTGCGAATGAAAGAAAGATAATCCACTTAATTTCAATAATGGCGCGTTTTAAAGGTGTCGTCCGCGATTGCGCAGATAACAATCTGTCGATCGCAGCGACTCGCCACGACGTAGTGTAGCAGCGTTCCTTGACCACGAGCTCTCGTCCCGTTCGTTGTTACGAGCGGTTCTCGTAAAAATGAATGTGATCGCGAAGTCGACGAGCCTCTCGCCGTTTCTACGGGCGACGGCGACGGCTGTTTCGAACGGCGGCATACCAGTCGCCGCGACCGGTAAGGTTCAGAAACCGAAGATTGCCGTTCCGCCTACCGTCAAACGGACTCACGGCCAAAGTCTCTATCAGGATCTCCTTATCGGACCTACATGCATAAGCTCGGGAGTCGCAGGTGCGTCCGTTATTAAATAGACTGTTTTACGTGGACAACCTTCGTGTACACTTGTGTTCCTTTCCAATGAGTCCAGCTAATTCGCATTTTGCGATTATATAATCGTTTTGCACAATTGCGTACTTGGCAGGTCGCTGCGTTATCGGTCGAACTTATATTTGTGACATTACTTCAAAATAAAGTATTAACAATAAGAAATGTCAATATAATAGTAGCATCGAGTCTCCAACGTGATGCTTCGCATTAATATGCTAAAACTCACACTCAGCTGTGTGAATGGCATGACATCAGGTCTGCTTCTATGACTTTTAATCTTTTGTATTATATCTACATAGGAATTTGAGGTTGAAAATATTAGGAAATTTCAGTAAATAAATATCAAATTTATGCAACTGAATGTACATGTGTATAAGGAGATCCTGATAGATTTTCTTAAATTAGATTTTCAGTAAGAATGATGACATAACATAGGTTCTGTCCTTACAGTCAGCACACAAGTACATCAGCGACGACTGGCCCATACCGATATCCAGTTTCCAGATTTCACAGATTACCGCAGGGAAGAAGTCAAAGAACCACATTCAAAATCAAGAGATAGCGCAGAAACACGCAAGAATTTCTCATATCTCATATCAGCTGGCAAGTACACAATTCCCAGGGTTGGATAATAACTAGTTGCTCAACTAAAAGTTAAATAAAAAAGTTAATAATTTTTAAGTTCAAAAAGTTAGTAACTTAAATTTTAACTTAACTTGGTTAATCTTAAATAAATCAACTTTTAATTTAAATTAACTATTTTAAAACTCACTAGCTTCAACTTATTAGAATATAGAATTGATGAAATAAGAAAAATAAAGAGCATTATCAAAAAACAGAATTTGTTTTTGAATATTTCTTTGAATATCAGTATTTTTTGTGTAAAATCCTGAACTACAAATAGTCGATACTTTCTTATAAGAAACTAACAACTTTTTAATATATTTTAGATAAATTTATAATTAAAAAATTGTACAAAAAACATTGCTTTACATAATTAATCTTTAACTTTAATAAGTTATTTTAATGTTAAATTAACTTTTAATTAAGTTAGTTTTTATTAATATAATATTTATATAACTTTTAACTTAACTAAGTTAATTTTATAAGTCACTTAAGTTTAATAAGTCACTTATTAACTTTAAACTGGACTTAGTTAAAGAATTAAAAATTACCTAGCCCTGACGACACTAAAATTTAAGTGAAGCAGCAATCTAATTATTTTCAATTTCTAATTTCGCATATTCAGGTGGTTGCGTGGCAGGTGTGTACGGCGCGAAAGTGATAGTACACGACCTCGTCGGTATGCTGAGTGCATCAGCTGATGTACTTGCTATGTCTAAGATCGAGATTAAGCTCGACTCGATTCCTGAAGGAAAGAGTGCCGTCTTCAAGTGGCGCGGAAAACCTTTGTTTGTACGACATAGGTAATCACGGCTATCTTCCTCTACCTACTCAAGATTTTTTACGACTTTATTTACTTCTATTCTATCTTACTTTTAAGATCTGGGGTTCCACACCTTATTTTGACTAAGGAGTTTAACTCGTTAAAAAATTAATTTTATATATCAAGATAAACTTGCATAATCACATATTGCATATGCATAAACAAATCAACTATTTATGATCCGTGCAATAAAAGGATGTACTAGATATACGAATGGTTAATCTCTTTATATATACATACATGCATTATACAAATATTTTCACTGTTTTCACCAACATCAATTAAGTTAAAAACACCCGGACACATAGTTAATCCTGGGCATTCTTATTATGTTAATGTTGAAATAAATTACGAATATTTAAACTTTTATATATATACATAATTGAATGTAGAGAAGTGGTGAATTTTTACCTTAAATCTTGATCTAAGTTTAAAAATACTTTATTCAGACAAAGACTTGAAATGAAAACTCAAGTTAAAATTTAATTAGTCCTGTTAGAAATGCGGATATATGCAAGTTTGTCTAAATAGGTGTTTAACGAGTTAAACTTCACTGAGTTGTGAAACTCACTTTCACTAAGACTTTAGATTATCTATGTTATACTTGTTGCATCTATTGTGGTTTTCATCTGCCTTAATAATCCGTTACAAACGAATGTATTAGAAGACAACAATTAGAACGCATTTCTCTCCATAATTCGTAGATCACAATCAGAAATTGCGAACGAAGCTAAAGTGGACGTCGCGAGTCTCCGTGATCCAGAAGAAGACAGTGTACGCGTGAAGGATCCCAAGTGGCTGGTCGTACTGGGTGTGTGCACGCATCTGGGATGCGTACCTATTGCCAATGCGGGAGATTTCGGCGGTTATTATTGTCCATGTCACGGTTCCCACTATGACGCCAGTGGCAGAATCAGGAAAGGACCCGCACCGTTGAACCTCGAAGTACCACCCTACGAGTTTCCTGAAAGCAATATGCTCATCGTCGGTTAATGACTATCCGATAACTGTAGTCAAATAATAAATGTTATTTATGATAAGACGCTCCGCGTGTACACATGCATAAGACCTGTTACCGACGATGAGGATATACGGAAGAGAGCGTGTTTTGTATTATATCTCTTAAAAGACATACGAATGTCGATTGGACTCAAAATGGCCGATGTAACGCTCACGCTACTGTATATCGAATTTAGAATAAATTACTGTTAAATGAGAAATATTTGGAAAGCACGGTTTAAACTTACTCGTGCCTTAACTCGTATACAAAACACAACGAACAATTTTTTTAATAACTAGCAATCTTGAACGCGATTCTCCGAGTTAAGAGTGTCGTGCATAATTATTCATTAATTTTCTTAAATTAATAACTCAACTTTTATGTTTGTGAAATAGATAGAAAAGAAATATTGATAGAGAAATTCTGTATTATTTCAAGAATTCTACCTGTACACTGCATAACGAATATTGTGTGTTGTCGGATACTCTGTATATATTATTTCATTATTTTTACAGCAGTTAATTCTGCTTTACGTCGAAGAACACTCTAAACTGCTAGTGTGACGTATTATGGCTTTCTCCAAACTCTGATTTGCCCAATCGGCAGTTAATTGAAAAAATTGCCAGCAGCAATTTATGACTATATAATTTGTTGTTTGACAATAATCAAAATATTAATCGTTTTATGAATATTAAGAAAATGAAGCAGTTAATATTTAAAAAATTGGCAGTAATTTTAAATACAAATTATAAAGAATACGAATAATTTCTTAATAGTTTTAACAACAGTCTCTTGTTTTCCATGTTAGCAACTTTCAACTGAGTTAACTATTTCCACTAGCTTAAACAGAAATTGGAGAGTCACTCTTTTAAATCAAGTCTCGAATCACACCGTTTCTCGTTACGTCCGGCTAGAATCGTTCCATAACATCGAAATCAAACATCTAACGTTATTCTAACTTGCACTCTCGTGTTTTTCTTGTGAAAATCTCTTAAGATATCGGTGTCATTTGCGAAACTTTCAATTCTTAGACGAGATGAACATTATTCGACCAGCCCTTGTCATCCGGAAATCCCGCGCCAATTTCCAAGTTCCGCGCATCCCCTCGTCGCGGTTACGCACAACGCGCCACATTTCCGCCTCGCATCGTATCGCGGGGTTGGGTTGGGCGCAAGGGTTGCGCGGAGGTGTCGATGCGCCCGCAAGGCGGCGCCAGCGATCGCGGAGCCGAAATTGTCGTCGTCGCGGCGCGAGGGCCGAGTCGCGGCGACAATCATCATCGTGCCGCTTCGGCGATCGTTACGATCGGTTTTTCCTGAGTCGCCCTCGCTGCTGGCAGCGCAAGGACTCGAGAGAAATCTCGCGCGGCGCGCGACACTACCTGCCTTTCTACACGCGCTTGGTGTGTGTGTGCTCTGTGTGTTTATGTCGATGCGGACCGGCCGGCCGGCGCGTTACGACACGTATCTGTATCGCGATCTGTTCTGTCCTTTTCTCGTTATCCACGCACAATTCGCCTGCGAGTCATTTGCGTATCGGAAGGACAGACAAAGAGAAAGAGGGAGGGAGAGAGAGACGCGCACGCTCGTGTCTCACAGCAAACTTCGTAGTACATTACGTATTATAGATATACACACGCGCACGCCTTAACCCCCTCGCCGACCAGCTGACACACTCTCTCTCTCTCCCTCTCTCCTCTCCGTCGCCGTCTCTCTTCTCCCGGAACTGACACTTTGGAACTGCCGCCGGCGACGCATTGCGCCGACGATGTATTGGCCGGTCGCGCGTCGCCAGCGAGCCGCGCTCCGTCGAAAGGGGTGAAAAGGATCGAGGATCGTCGCCGTGCGAGGAGGCAGCGAAGAACGCGGAGAAGGAACGCACGCGGTGAGTACGCAGTGCGTTATCATGCGAATTTTGTCGACGCGGGCCAAGGATTGCTGTCCTTCGGTATTTATGCGTGTCACAGCTTCCGCTGTGGGGCGGACGAATAATTTGTTTCCTTGAACGAGGAGAAGAAAGAGCCATGCCGCGGACCGCACATTCGTTTCCGCGCCGATGTCGCGCCGGGCGATCGCTCGAATCGCGGTTTCGACGCATGGCAAAGACGCATTTCTGAACGAGTTTCGAAGCGGTTTACAAATTAACGCCTGTCCTCCGGAAGGGAGTTCACGCGTATGATATAGAGCGACGGCTTGAAGTAAAAACGCAGATATATATGAGATATATATGAGTTGTGAAAAAGCTGTCTCAGTTGCGACTTACATCATTCGCAACTTGTATAAATTGTAGATCGCTGAAAAACCACGTCCTCGCGAATGAGGTGGAGTAATTGAGGGCATTTCTTGGGGCGATGTGCAAAGCGAGTGAGCTGTGTATATGTGTGCGTATTTCATTTCGATATATCAAACCTATCGACTCGGATCTATCTGGCATGCCGCTATCGCGTTTTCTGCATGCAAATATTTGTTGTCGACAGGCGGCGGCACAACGGTAATACAAAAGAGTTACTGACTGACGAGAATCACAAAATAGAGTCGAGTTTTGCACGTAGTTGTTAATCAATAGATTGGATTTGTTTTCGTAGGCGTTTGTCGGCTGATCGATACACAGAGAGCAAAGCGGGCCGTCTTTAAGATGCGGCATGACTTATCTCACCCGAGCAGGGACGCCGAATAATTTTCTCGGCGAGAGATCTGCATTAGAGATTCATTCCAAATTCAATTTGACGCGGCACGAGCCGCACGCGCGCTCGGTGAGACATTGCTCCAGTTTTTGCGAGTTTCCACCGCGTTGGAATAAACTTTCCAGCTTCGTCCCAGTAAGCGAGAAGTCGTTTTTTCTTTGCAAGCCGACCGAGGAACTCGGCTGCTCGACACTGCTCCGCGGTGTTGATATCGCATTCTCCTTCGTGGCATCTCGCGAGCGTTTCGGCACACACGCGCTGCGTCGATAACAATAACATTAATCGCGACCGCGTGAAAGACTATCGGCAGCATACTTGCGTCCGGGCTTGCCTTCGTAATATATTCTTATTCGCCAAGTTTCACCGCGAATCTTTCATTGCAATCTTATTTCATGCGTAGCGCACTAAAAGAAAGATATACATAGATAAATTTGGAGAGAGAGAGAGAGAGAGAGAGAGAGAGAGAGAGAGAGAGAGAGAGAGACAGGTGTACTTTATGTTTCAATATTTTCGAGTATTAAGTCGCGTATGTGTACGTATATTTGTGCAATTAATTTTATGCAATTTTATGTAATTTCACGTGAATAATAATCCGTACATGAAAATGATAATGACAAAAAGAAGCGACAAATTTCAAATAGAAAAAGACACTAATATCGATTTAAATATCTGGTCGGGTGTGCCGCGAATACATTCGGCAGTGCCACTGTTTTAATTCTCTTCTTCGCGCGTATCTAAGTAAAGTTTCCTTCTTTTATAATCTTCGATATAGAAAATTCACCTTTCTTAAATTCCATCTTCGAGAGGAGACATTGGTCGAAATAAAACGTTGAGATTCAAAGTAGAAGCGGTTCGGGACTAAATTATACATCATGTACTTGGAATAATAGTGAATGTCTCGGCTCGGACATAATCGTTCAATGAGCTTTATCATCTATTTGTACTTAGCTTCTTGTCCCCTGTTTGGTAACAGAGAACATGGGCTCGCCGGCGTATGTCTGTGTGTGTGTTTGTGTCTGCACGCACGCTCGCGAGTCATCTCGCACGATGATTTCGCGCACGTTCAAATCGAGACTTTGCATCTCGGTAACGGTTCTGTTAGCAACACACGAGTTCTATTCCCGCGCAATCTCGCACGGCCGCTGACCTTTTGCTTGACGATTATGTAAATAAAGGATTTTATACGAAATACCGCGTTGCTCGCGTGACATACGGCAACGAATCACGTTGATACGCGAGATCTGTGCACGGAGGAATGGTCATTTGGTCCTTGGTCAGTCGATACATCGGTAATTAGTGAATCTCTGCGCGGCGACACGAAGAAATATGTCGGGGAATATTACCGGATTTAATTTCATTCGCGGTGGTGTCGATACGGGCTTACGGACCGACGAATGATATCTTGATTCGAGGTAGAAAAAAGATATTAGCATAACGAACTTCAACTTTTGCGAGATTAAAAATGGGGAAAGAGAAAAAGAGAGAGAGAGAGAGAGAGAGAGAGAGAGAGAGAGAGAGAGAGAGAGAAAGAGAGACAATGTGTATGGCCGTTTACAATATGCAGAATAAACTTGGCATAAGTTGGAGTAAAAAATAAGAATAATTTCTTTCGCTTATGCCTATACTCTAACTCTCTTACACCAGAAATATTTCCTCTACTGCCCACTGTGACTCTGAAGTGACAATACAGTTTCATTATTAATCTCCTCTCAATATGAATTTTGTTTCTGTCTTAATCGATATGATGTGAAAGTTACAATATGACTTTTTTAATATGTTGTCAGCGACAGTAACTGCCCAATATAATCTCGGAGTCACAAATCTATTTCGAGAAAATAAAAAATTAAGAGAGGGAAATTGCACCTTATATGTGTTGAATACTTCAGTTTTAAACATCCTATATATATGAAAAAATTGTTAAACATGAGACATTAATTTGGGCAGTAAAGAGTTAAGAGAAATACTTCCGGTGTAAGAGAGTTAGAATATAGTCGTAAGTGAGATAAATTATTTTTGTCTCTCACTCCACACACTTATGCTAAGCTTATTCTGCAAACAAGCTTTGATACATGCGTGCTATACAGAAGTAAAATAATAATATTAAGTATTATCCGACAATTTGTCATGCAGCCACAGTGTGCAAGTAAAACACATCAAACTAATCGTCAACTAACAAAGAGAGGGAGGGGAAGGAGAAGAAAGAGAGAGAGGGTTGAACTTATAGAAATTAAATATATATCATAGTGCGCGAAATATATATAGGAGACACGTGATGGAAGGAGATGAAATATGACGCTTTCTACTATCTCTGCATTTACGCGTCCTAATATTTCACCGTCGATCGATCATCCGATACGACGCGAACAAGGCGAGATCTCTTCTCTCACTCTCGATTCACCCCTTGCAACCTTCCTCTTCTGGCCGGGACTGTACCCGTTGTTCGCAAAGACGATCGTTACCCTGGCCAGGAGAGAGATCTCTCCAAGAAAGTTGCAAGTGCAAAGGCCCAGGAGTAGAGCGGACACGAGTTGCAATGCAAATAGCCCGGCATTCTAATTCTTATGCGTCAGCGAACGAGAAAACGCGGCGAGAGAGAAGAGAAGAGAACACACACACACAAAGAAAGAGAGAAAGAGAGAGGAAGAAAAGGAGAAAGAGAGCGTGCGTACGCGCGCTCACGCGCGGAAGGGAGCTGTCTCTCCTCCGGAGCAGGATCCAGTTCCCTTTTTCTCTCTCTCCTCCTCCTCCTCGCCGTTGCCTCCGACGGCGCAGGACGAGACTCTCATGCTGCTTTGTGCCCTGCATCCACCGAGCGCACTCGTTCTCTCCGTCGCGCCCGCGCGCGCGCGCGCGTGTACGCGCACGCGAAATTGCGTGTGCCGTTCAACGAAAGAAGGAGAGAGAGAAAGAGAGTGAGAGGGGGCAAGAGAAAGAAAGAGAGAGACAGCGGGATCCCGCTACGCGGGCCTTCATGCTGGAGGAGAATCAATAGATGTGCGTTGCATCTTGCCTCTCCTCCTCGCCTCCCCCCTCGAACCCCTCCCTTCGTTTTGGGCTGCCACCGCGCACCCTTCTGCTACTGACTCCGACCTTCGCACGCGGGCGCGTCGCTCCACCGTGTACTTCGCGAACCAGAATCATTTAGGAGGATCTCACGGGGCTGATCTACCTTGACTAGAAATTTACTCCATGGTTCTGATCAGGTTGATGCCAATCAGTCATCTGGCTTGTGCCAGATGATATTATTGGATTCTAGTTATTAGTAAGACCCTAATTATTAATAATCTCTCACGAAAAAAAACAGTATGGTTAGTGCAAACGTAAATCTGGTTGTGCTAACTAGATTAAATAATAAAATATGGAACGACTAATTATGTAGTTACTGTAACCATAGAACAATTGCTGAGTTACTAGCGTTGCAGCAGTGACGATTATCGGGTTGCTCCGATGTCTCCATGATGAATGTCAGCCCAATCGATTCCTAGTTGCTACAACGCGCAACTATACTGATATCGTTGATATGCCAAAGTAACTAAATCATAGATTCAACGATATATACCATCACACAAGGATAACTAAAGTGATGCAACTATGCTGCTCACAACAAAATATTTTTAGTATGTGCGCTATATTTTTTGTGTTATTGTTAAGAAGGTCCTAATTGCCACACACTGCGTTACTCGATTTCAGGACTCGAAAATATTACGTTACACAAACTAGGGGCCGTATTTTTGACGCATATTTGAATGTTAAGCACTGATGCTCAAGCTAAAACTATCTTATATGGGATGTTCGTATAGGAAAAATGAAATTTGGAATAAGAAAGATATATTGAACGTTCGAATACGCATCAAGTATACGAGCCTAGATAACTTAATGTGGGTCAACCTGATCAGGACTATGGAATAAATTTCTAGTCGGAATGCTCAAGTGTCGTCTATCGATAAAAGATACATGGAAATATCAGGAATACATGAATTAAACTAACGTAGCTGGGAGAAATTCGGGTTATACGAGCACAATGCACTTTCAGAACTGCGACGTAGTTCATTGCTTGCTAGATGCGGAAATGAACTTCACCGACCGGAAGTAATCTTGAAATTTTTTCTTTTAAGATCCAAGCAAGATTAGATCCTTTCTAGTTTATAAAGAAAAACATGTGGGAGGAGGGCGACGCTGTCTTCCTTGTTTTGTATCAATG